GTAGGCTTTGTTCTTAACCCTGACCTGAGGCCTGATAATGAATCCTGTGCTGCAAACACACATATACAGTGCAAAAGTTTGAACACCCCAGGTCAGAAGTACCTTTTGTTAATCTTGAGTGACAATAAGTCAATACATCCTCTACAGGGAACCTAAATATGGCAATTTCAATTTATGTGAGTTTAACATGTTGGTGAAAAAAACATAGAATATTAAATATGCTGAGTTTTGCTAGAGGATGTGTTGACTTGCTTACACTCAGGAAATCAACCGAAAATTATTTTGTCATTTATCAGGGTTGCCCAAACATTTCTGTACGACTGTATAAACACATACGCACAGTTGCTGGAAATGGGATTGTACATAAATCTAGGGCTGCAAAAAATGAATATTTTGATATTTATGAAAATTATTCAACTAATTATTTGCCTTAAATGTGTGTCAATTTGAAGAGCAGTAGTAATACCGTGTTTGCCAATGGAGCTAAATAACCACTACAAAAAAAGCATGTGGCAGTTTGTTTATACTTTTAAACTACACTCTGAAAACAGATGGTTCTTCAAGGGTTCCTTAGTAAAGAGAATGGTTCTCTAAAGAACCGTTTCATACCTAAGTGGTTCTTTGCATGGTAAAATGGTTCTTCAGATTGGTGGAGAATGTATTGTCTTTTTGAAAATGGTTCTGTGTAGCACCAAAAAGGGTTCTTTTATTGTTACAGTGTCAAGCTTGTATCAATAGAAAAAACCCTCTTTGGTGCCGTTGTGATTCTATATGGAACCATATACAACACGTTCTCCGTCAATCTGAAGAACATTTCACCGTGCAAAGAACCACTTAAGCATAAAATGGTTCTTTAGAGAATTCATGGCTCTAGATAGAACCATTCTCTTTACGAAAGAACCCATGAAAAAACAATCTTTTTAAGAGTGTACAGTGAATAAGCGAAAGATGAAATGAAGTGATATGATAATAAATATGTAGATTAATGTTCTTCAACCTGTAGCATCATTTAAGCAGTTTAACATTTCAGCATGCTAGTTCATTAGAGCTCTGTGTGAACAGGTTTCCATGACAACTGTGTTTACATGATAAGTTGTATTTTAAGCTTATTAACTAGTTGTCCAGTTATCATGCTAATGTGTGTAGCGCTGTGACAGGATGAACCATCGAATCAACAGTAGTTTTTGACGTTTTTGAACAGAAACATACACAGTTCAGAATATTCCAGTGACTAACGTTAGTAAAGCATTATGAGCTTTAGTGATGTATGTCGGGGGGGCTCTCAACCTTTTCCACCCCAAGGCCCACCTGTGTATAACTACAAAGCATAGCGGCCCACAAGAAAACTAAAATCAACTTTATTAAATCTTAAATGCCGACACTGAAAACCTGAGAATTAGGGCCTGAAAAAGATTTGATCGTTCGGTCTAGGTGTTCCTAGGTTTGCGAAATTTGCAGGTATGTTAAAAACCACATGGTTGTAGTGATGATAAAAAGGGGAGAGAGAAAAAAAAAGAATAGAAATGTATGAGGTACATGTGGACTGTGATTTGCAGCTTCAGTTCATTGCATGTTCTCTAAAAATCCTCCACTGGCTTCCCAAAACAGTAACTGTTTGGTCTGGAGATGACTCTTTAGTTGTGAAGGTTTTTGTGGTTTATTTGAAACCACACACTTTATTCAGTGAACTGGATTAGCATCATCACAATTAACAATAATGATAAATCCTACTGGATATCTGCTTCTTTAGGATTTGAGTTTAAACACTCTGTGGCGCTGATGCTCAGACAAAGGACGCTCCGCTACGATCCAAGAGTTGAAATCAAACGCATATCTTGACTATTATTTTATGTCTGTTGTTTTCAACAGCAGCTCGTGATGAGAGTCTGTGAAGAGTCAGTCTTTGAAACACTCGTTGTGCCTCTAATAGAGAAGGAAAGACAGCTCCGTTGATAAATTCCCTCGTTTGATCACAGAGCACATTTCCATAATCAATGAACTGAACAGGTTCGTAAGAAGTGGGCCGAGACTCGCAGGTTTCTGTTGGACCGGTTCTGCTGTTTGTTGTAGACCCGAACGCGGGTGGAGTGTTCACACATGTCAAAACGGTGCGAACTAAAGAAAAAGGCGTGGTAAGTCCTCACCAAACAAAGCAGCCCGAGAAACTTCTCCAGCGCTGGCTAGCCTTCTGCATCGCGCGCCCACGGCTGCACTCTCTCCGAGTGATGACGTTTAATTAGCCTGCGACTGCAGCGATTTTATGTGTACGTCTCTATTAGTATTTATATTGGTTATAAATATGGAGATGTTTTATTCTTAGATTTTTAATTAATAAGTAAATCTTTTCCCATTTTTGCTTTTATGGCTTGACGTTATCAGCCCAGTACAAAGTACTGCCTCCCTCTGAGTACAAATCCTGCGGACCACCAGAGGGTGCTTCATGGCCCACTGGTGGTCTCCGTCCCACAGGTTGAGAAACCTTGATGTATGTAATGGTAACATTGGCTCATTCTGAAAATCACTGACAGTGAACTGCAAAGTTCGCAGTAGTTTGGTTTGTCGAAACCCTGGCATGACCCTTCTGCTGCTTCAGAATCAACAACAGCTTGTTTTCTTTTCTGGTGGCCAAAGGTAAAGTTATGCTTCCTCGGAAACCTCTGTCAGATTTGTTGTATTTGTCTACTTTATCATTCATTTAAGAGAATATTGAATATTAATGAATGTCGTGTAATAATTCCAGCCCTACATATCTATATGTAATCATTTTATGTCCAATTTGTGTTATGTAGTACTGTGAAAAGTCAAAGACCACTCTTCAGTTATTTAACTTACAGTCAAAATGGCTATTAAGCACAAGTTATTCATTTTTCAGCGTCAGGGAAGAAAAGAACAGAGAATTAGGCAGAACCTTCGCCAGGCTGTATTTGCTCACACACAGGTGTTGTATTCTATTCTCTCTGATCATTCGTTCCTTTGAGGGGGCTCTAATGGTGTTTTTGTCAGAGAGAAGCTGGAAGATTTTTCATCATTAAACCACACTGTGCATCCTCTCAGCCTATCAGATCTCTCCGTCTGCCCCAGTGCAGCATGGGAATGGCCACCCACTCACTCTCAGACAGACTAGTTTATCATCACGCAGCCTTATAGACACTGTGTGCGCGTGTATGGTAGTAATATCCGCTTCCTCAGCTCCTCTGCTGGAAGATATTGTCTGATAATCCAGCAGGGGACATGGAGCTCTGTGTGTGCGTTTGTGTTTGTGTTTTTATGTACGTGTGTGTGTGTGTGTGTGTGTGTGTGTGTGTGTGTGTGTTTTAGAGAAGTTGAAGTGTAATTTCCTGGATGGTCAGTAAAATTACTCTTGATAAAATAAATGCTATATATATACAAAACTAATGTGTACTGTTGTATCTGCATATATATATAAAGTTGGGACGCTGTGCAAAATGTAAATAACAACAAAATCCAATGACGTGCAGATCATTTAAACCATATATTTCATTGATAATAAGACAAAGACAACAAATCAAATGTTGAAACAGAGAAATTTTATTGTTTTTTGAAAAATATTTGCTCATTTTGAAGTTGATGCCAACAACACTTTCCAAAAAAGAAACACCTGGTGGTTAATTGGCAACAGATCAGTAACATGATTTGGTATAAAAAGATGAGGCTTTCAGAAGTAAAGATGAGGAGGGTTCACTACTCTGTGAAAGACTGCACAATCAAATATGTTGCCAAGACATGTATATATAGTTCAGCATTAACGGTGCCTTCACAGACGTGCCAGTCACCCATGCCATGTGTACTAATGCACCCCTATACCATCATGAATACTGGCTTTTGGACTGTGCACTGATAACACGCTGAGTGGTCTTTAGACTGGAGGACACAGTGTCCATGATTTCCAAAAAGAAATTCGAATATTGATTCGTCGGCCCACAGGACACTTTTCCACTCCCCTCAGTCCATTTTAAACGAGTTCAGGCCCAGAGAAGGTGGTAGTGTTTCTGGATCCTGTTTATATTTGGTTTCTTCTTTGAGTTTTAATTAGCATTTGTGGATGCAGTGACAAACAGTTTTCACAGACAGTTTTATCAGAAGTGTTTCTGAGCCCATGCAGTGATTTTCACTACAGAATCATGTCTGTTTTTAATGCAGTGCTGCCTGAAGGTCCAAAGATCACAGCCAGCAAATACTGGTTTTCAGCCTTGTCCCTTACATACAGAGATTGCTCCAGATTCTCTGAATGTTTTTATGATATTATGTACTGTAGATGATGAAAAGCTAAAGTCCTTTGCTATTTTATGTTGAGAAACGTTATTCTTGAATTGTTGCACTGTTTGATCATGCAGTCTTTCTCAGAGTGGTGACCCCCTCCTCATTTTACTTCTGAAAGCCTCTCTGAGATGCTTTTTTATACCCAATCATGTTATTGACCTGTTGTCAATTAACCACCAGGTGTTTTTAGCATTACACAAATTTACCAGCCTTTTGTTGCCCCTTCCCAACTGTTTTGGAACATGTTGCTGGCATCAAATTCAAAATGGGCAAATATTTTTCAAAAAACAATAAAATTTCTCAGTTTCAACATTTGATATGTTGTCTTTGTCCCAACTTTTTTGGAAATTGGGTTGTACAATAATACCAAAATAATATTTAAATACAGTATATAATTACAATATATATATATATATATATATATATTGTATATAAATACAATTATTTGTCCTCCCTGGTTTTAGGGTGGGTATGTCTACATTTATATCATTGCTGTCAAAAAAAAATCTCAATTTTTTGTAATTTTTAGTATTCTGCATAATTTGAGCTCAGCAGACGTCCCTTACAATGTATGAAAATTTCATAATGTTTAGACTAATTGAAATGTTCCACTATTGCTTGGAATAACATCTCTGTACATGAACTCATACTGAAAGTTAAAAGCATTTTAGCCCTCTTCTGTAAAATTACTGGTTCAGAGATCCTTGTTTTTCTTTGGA